ACTGGCTTCCCCTCCACCTTCAAAGTTACCCAAGATTTAGGGAGGGGTTCTGAGTCCTGTCTCCCCTAGTAGCTGTCCTCACCTGCTGTCAAGGTCCTAACAGGAACAGGTTTCTCATATCTTTTGTTCTCTTTCTTTGGGCATTCATTCTTCCAATGTCCAGTTCCCTTGCAAAATGCACATTGGTTCGGAGCCAGGGCTGGATCTTGGCGGGGCCTGTCATGGTGGTCTAGTTTCCTTCCTCTCCCTCTGTCTCCCCGAGTTCCGGTGAAGAGAATCTTTGCTAACTCTTTCTGATTTTGTTTATTCTCTTTGGCTTGGAACTCCCTTTCCTCCCTCCATATTCTTTCTTCCCTTTCCTCCGGGGTTTCCCTAGTATTATACACTCTCTCTGCTACTTTCATTAGGTCCTGTAGGGTTTGCTCACCGAATCTATCTATCTTCTGAAGCTTTCTTCTGATATCAGGGGCTGCTTGGTTTACAAAAGATAGGACTACTGCTGCTCTACTCTCATCAGCTAGTGGATCCATGGGAGTATACAGCCTAAATGCATCCATCAATCTTTCTAAGTATGCTGCGAGGCTCTCTGTCAGCTCCTGCCTGACTAAGTTTACCTTGGCCAAATTAGTCAGCTTCCTCGCCGCTGCTCGGAGACCAGCCATTAGATAGAATCTGGCAGTACTTTTGAAGCTTCTCCCTCCCCTCGGGAAGTTCAAAGTTCCAACCAGGGCGAGATAACGGAAACCCCGCGTCAATTAAATTCTGAAGCGTGGTAGGCTGCCCATTGTCCCCCGGAACATTTTTCCTGGCCTCGGTCAAGATCCTCTCCTTCTCCTCTGTGGTGAACAAAACCTGCAATAGCTGCTGACAATCATCCCAAGTGGGGTTATGAGTAAACAATACAGAGTCTAACTAATTAATCAGGCTTTGGGGGTTCTCAGAAAAGGGGGCGTTTTGCGCCTTCCAGTTATACAGGTCTGATGTCGAAAATGGCCAGTACTGCCAGGTTCTGCTTCCGTCCTCATGGGGCGGGCCAACCGCCCTGAGAGGCAGTGCCTGGACAGTAGACGATGCAGCTGCAGCTTCCTGGGAGCCTCTCTGGCGCAGGCGGAGACCGGAGGCTGGGCCCGTAATGACGGGCGGCGGCGCACTTGGAGCATTCGCTCCACTCCCTCCCGACACTTGCGGAACCTGGAGAGGGTGGGGAGGTGGAAGAGGCTGAATCTGGTGAGGGTGGGGAGGTGGCAGAAGCGGCGGAGGGGCATAGGGGGATGGGGATATGCTGCTCTCTAGATCCATTAAATCGAGGTCAACCTGAGAATCAGGTAAAACTGGTGGAACAGCTGCTTGGGACCCAGGTCGTCTGGGTTTCTCCTTCCCGCTGGTCCCAAGTGAGGATGTCAATACCTTAACAGAAGGGTTCGGAAGAAAAGGTTTTAGCCATGGGGGTGGATTGGTTA